GGCGGCCCACCCTGGAGGGACACAACCAGAGTGCGCCACGTGAGCAGAGCGCACCCCTGGCCAGGCCCTGCGCAACGCCAGTCTCCAAGCGCCTCGGTCCGCCCTCACGACCACCCTGCAGTCAGCGGGAGCTCCGCCATGGCTTCACTGAAGAGACGGAGCCACAGGGAGCCCAGCTGTCAGCGCGGCGAGGAGCGGGGACGTGGAAGCCAACAGCCGGCTCTAGACTGCGCGCCTGTGACCCTGACCCAGCAGGGAAGCCCCCTTCCGCACAGGCCGCTCCGAGTCCCGCTTCCTCTGCCCTCCGCTCAGGAGACCTCGTCACCTGCTCCGGGAGCCCCAGAGGACCCTCCGCCGCCCGCCAGCCCGAGACAGCTCAGCACAAACACTCGGTAGGGGGAGGGGCCCTCGCGGGGGGCCACCCTGAGCCTGCCCTGCTACACCGTCTCTCCTGACCGATGAGCCCCCGAGGGCTCAGCCCCACCAGCCAGCTCGGGACTCCGAGGACCCGGCCAGAGTCCCGGCTGTCTCCTGCCCCTCCTCACCTTGGCGTCCTGGGGCTGGGGCTCCGGCAGGGTCAGCGCGTCTCTCCAGCTGCACATGAACGACAGGTCGGGGCCGTCGCTCAGCCCCAGGGGGCCGGTGGTAAACGAGGTGGGGCGGAGGCAGCCGGGGAAGTCCATCCTGGAAAAGAAGCGCCGGCCTTCGCAGCAGACCTGGACCCGGCACTGGCCAGGACCGGCGCGGCCCAGGAGGCACCGGCCTCCGGGCTCCCCGGGGAGGACCGGGTGACACAGAGCAAGCGTGCGTGCAGCCCTGGCCCGAGGAGGTGCCTTACCGGACGGTGGACAACCAGCCTCCCGGCCCGGAGGAGGGGCGTGCCCGCAGCCAGGTGAGCCTCCTGAGGCCAGCGACAGAGCCTGACCCCAGGGAGGGAGGCAGCCTGCGGAGAGCTGCCAGGGGCCCTGGGCACTGTCTGAGGGACACCTTGGCGAGCGGACGGAGGAGGAGGAGCGGGGCCGGCTGCTAGGCGCCCTTGGGTCTCCGGTCACACACCTGCAGACGCCTCCCCTTCGGCTCAGTCCCAGGACTACGCCAGGACCGAGCCCCGCAGCCGCCCCCGGCGCCTCCCGGGCGCGTACTATGCGTTGACCGAGAGCAAGTCCGTGGCAAAGGGCTTTGAGAGGCCAAGGTTCCCAAAGCAGCAGCCGCCACCTCAGCCCTCTCTTAATGAACACAGCACCACAGCGAGAGCAGCGCCCCCACACCTGGGCCCGCGGCTGCACACGTGGCGCCAGGCCCCTCCCTCGTCCGTGTCCGGGCGCGGGGACCCGCTCAGGCCAGCAGCTGCCCGAGCGCCGGAGCCACACCGCAGCTCTGCGCCTCACTCTCCGGCGCCCAGGAGCAAACGCCGGCACGGGGCCTTGGCAGGAACCCCTTCCTGGAGACCAACTCCCAGCGGGCTTCATCAGTTCACGGCGCGGCCCGGGGCGGCCAGGCACCCTCAGCACCGCGCACACGGCCCGCCGCGCAGCGCTGGGGAACCCGTGGAATGAACAGCCGTTCCTCGGGGCCTGTGCCGGCCCCACTGTTTATCCGGGCACCGGCATGGGCGTCTCCGAGGGCAGGTGCTGGGTCTGTTGCCACCGTCACTGTTTGGGGACAGGAGCCGCCAGTGGCGGGAACGGTGGAGGCACCCACTGCAGGCACCAAGCCCCCAGGCCTCCCGGGGAGGGGGAGGGGGAGGGGCTGTATCCCTGACGGGTCAAGGGTCACACACAGAGAAGCCTCCTGCTCATGTCTGGTGCCTGGGCTCCAACCACACTCCTTAAGACGCTGCCTCTCACCACAGGGCCTTTGCACATCCCCTCTCCAACTGCGCGCCAGGGCCCGCCCTCCCCACCTCAAAAGCCTGGATTTCCAGTCCAGGAGCCTCCCTTAACCCCTTCAATTCTGTTCTCCCCCAAACACCCGCTGTCCTGCCAGAGCGGGTAGCAGCCTGTGGCAGATACGTAAGGATGCTCGGGCAGGTGTGGCGAGCGGTAAAACCGCCCCCTGCCATGCTGGCATCCCACGGGGGCGCCGGTTCGTGTCCCGGCTGCGCCACTTCCAATCCAGTTCCCTGCTCGTGCCCCTGGGAACGCTGTGGGAGATGGCCCCAGTCCTTGGGCCCTGCACCCACGTGGGAGACCCGCAGGAAGCTCCCGGCTGCGGATCGGCCCAGGCCTGGCTGCTGCAGCCGTCCGGGGAGAGAACCAGCGGATGGGGACTTCTCTAACTTTCAAATAAACAAGATGAGCCTCCCACAGCTCCCAGGGAAGGCAGGCTCTCCCTCCCAGCGCCTAGGGCATACCCACAACATCGCACACAGAGCGAGAACAAGCGGGGGCGAGAGGAGCCGCGCGGCGCCAGACAAGCCCGGGCAGCCCGAGGGCGCCCACGACCCCCGCCAGGCCCCCGCCAGGCACTCTCAGTTTTTTTTGTACTTCGCTAGATGGTGAAAGAAAGACGGGGTGAAGATGAATTTTTATTTTTTTA